TCACCTTCCTGATGCTTAAATAAAGTCTGACGAGGATGAGAAACTCCTTTTGAGGCTTTTCAAACATAAAGGTAAAGGTAAAGGGACCCCTAACCATTAGGTCCAGTCGTGACCGACTCTGGGGTTGCGGCGCTCATCTCACTTTATTGGCCGAGGGAGCCGGCGTACAGCTTCTGGATCATGTAGCCAGCATGACTAAGCCACTTCTGGCAAACCAGAGCAGCGCACGGAAACACCATTTACCTTCCCGCCGGAGTGGTACCTATTTATCTACGTGCACTTTGACGTGCTTTCAAACTGCTAGGTTGGCAGGAGCAGGGACCGAGCAATGGGAGCTCACCCCATTGCGGGGATTCGAACCGCTGACCTTCCGATCAGCAAGTCCGCTCATGCTCGCTTTATTGCCGATAGATAGCCGGCGTACCAGCTTCCCGTGCGGGGGCGTGGCGGTGGGGTGGCGGGGTTGGGGGGTGGCAATGGTGGCCAGCATGACTAAGCCGCTTCTGGCGAACCAGAGCAGCACATGGAAATGCTGTTTACCTTCCCATCGGAACAGTACCTATTTATCTACTTGTACTTTGACATGCTTTCAGACTGCTAGGTTGGCAGGAGCAGGGACCGGGCAATGGGAGCTCACCCTGTCACGGGGATTCGAACTGCCGACCTTCTGATCGGCAAGCCCTAGGCTCTGTGGTTTAACCCACGGCGCCACCCACGTCCCTCTTTAAACTGTAAACCATGCTGAAAGTCCTTTTGCAGAAGGGCAGCTTATAAATTGCCTAAATAAAAACAGCTAGGCAATCTATGTCCAATGGCCGATATCCATTGTTAGTCACAGAGGAGACTGACTGATATAGATGGATGAATTCGCTGACTTCTGCCCTCAAGATTGACTTAGTTGGGTTTCACCCATTTCCTCTGTAATCCCACAACAACCCTGTAAACTAAGCTTAAGAAGAAGACAGATCATGGGCTGTTTTTGAGGCCACTGAGCATTCAAGTAGATATCAGCATGGCAGACCTACAACTGGGTCTCCTACAATTTTTTAAAAATGAGTGTTGTTGCCTGCACCTGCCATTTTGGATCAGGATGGCAGTGCTGGGGGAAGGTGAGATTAACTCTTTAACGCCATTGTCCTAATATCACCCTGTCTCCCAAAGTTACCCTCAGGGCAGAAACGTACCAAACATTTTGAAACCCCCTCCCTCTGCACCACAGTCCTTTATTTGACATGGTGTGTGTGTGTGTATGCTTTGGCCGCTATTCCCCCACCCCACGCCCCGAAATCCAGCACAAGAATCAGTCTATGAACTGCCCAAATTACATTTAGCTCAGCCCTATCCTGAGATTTTTGGGACGTGGGTGGCGCTGTGGGTTAAACCACAGAGCCTAGGACTTGCCGATCAGAAGGTCGGCGGTTCGAATCCCCGCGACGGGGTGCGCTCCTGTTGCTTGGTCCCAGCTCCTGCCCACCTAGCAGTTCGAAAGCACATCAGAGTGCAAGTAGATAAATAGGTACCACTCCGGTGGGAAGGTAAACGGCGTTTCCGTGCGCTGCTCTGGTTCGCCAGAAGCAGCTTAGTCATGCTGGCCACAGCTGTACGCCGGCTCCCTCGGCCAATAAAGGGAGATGAGCGCCACAACCCCAGAGTCGGCCGTGACTGGAACTAATGATCAGGGGTCCCTTTACCTTTACTTTATCCTGAGATTTAAATTGGGGCCTTTCTTTCCAGCTCGTAGTTCAAACATCTGTTACATGATCTCCAGCTCCCAGAAAACGAACAACACTTTGCTGTGATCTTGAGCACCAAGCCAAGTCAACATTGATTGATTGATTTTGCAGGAAGCGGGTACCAATTGCTGTCCCATCCTAGGCACACCTGGGGCCAGTCCTGCTTCTGCATCCCTTTGACTGTAAGAGATGCTTTGGAATTTGCCAAGGAATTTTGCTTCCTGGATGCTGAAGCTGAATGATGGCACCCCCCTCTCAACTCAGCCAGAACAGAGGAATCTGGGCCCTGAGCTCTCTCAATACAGGAGTTGCCCCTCTCTCAGGTACCCCACACCCAGACTCAGACCCCCGTACCTGAGGCAGCTGTGTGTCCATCACTGCTTCCGCTTCCCTCAGAGGTGGGGTCGATGCTCCTGAGAGACCTGGAAAAGTGACAAGGTTACATGGGGCTGTGCCCTCCATAGATATAAAAGTGTAAAGGCAAGTGGATGGTGGGAAAAGTGAGGTGGTCCTATTGTAACGGGGATCTTGCAACAGGTGACCAGTCAAGCTTGAGTCCATGAGGAAAGGTAAGAACAACGGTCAGGGATTCTATTCCAAGGATGCTGGTTTTTTAAACCCTGGCAGTTGGGAGCAGTTAAGGAGGCAGACCGCAGGGCTTCACTGGAGCCTGAGCTCACAGGTCTTTAGTTCCCGCATTTTTTGTGGGGGGGGGGCCTCAGACCAAGGATATACGGAGCAAGCAGCTATACACAGGCCTCTGTGCCTGTGCAAAGCGCTTTTCTTTCTTTAGTTGCTGTGCTGTCTAGCGCCAACTTAAAAAACTGAACACCAGTCAAGGTTTCTTCAGGGTTGGCAACCCCCTGCCTTAGAGCATGGGCTCAGGAATAAAACACACACACACACACACACACACACACACACACACACACACACACCTACCATGTGCCTCTAGCCTAGTCCAAAGTGGGGAAAAAATATAAATGCAGAGGAGGACATTTAAAATCCTTTCCCCCTTTGAGACAGAAGCCTCAGGAAATTATTTTTCCAATGCACATATTTACAATATTGGGGGTGTCTAGATATGTGGATCTCCCCCCCCCCCGTCCACCACACTTCACCCCCTTTTCCCTCTCTCACCAGCAGATCACTCCCTGCTCAGCTGCATCCCTGACCAGCCGATCCCTTTATTATTATGCGGGCTGATGTTTTGGAAGTGCCCCTTTTGATGCTGCACCGCTTCTCCTTCTCCTGCCTGCCTGTGTTGACCTGTGCGCCTGCTTTTCCGCTTCCCGCCATGTGACTGAGGCCACACCAGACCCCTGGCAGTGCAAATCCATCTTCTGTGCTATGTGCTGAGATGGAGTGCCTCTCAGTGGCAAGGCTCATGCTAGGCACACATACATTTATTTCAGTTACGAGTGGCTTTCCATGAAATATCCTGAAGCAATTAAATTTTTTTTGTTCTTTTTTTAATTAAAGTTTTTCTTGTTTTACAGAAGTATGTGTAATGTCTCTCGTATTTTTTCCATGTAACATTTTTACAAATCAGCTTCATTTGTTGAGACATTGGGGGAGGGGGGAGGGGGGAAGATGGATGAGGGTGGGTCCTGAAGCAATTAATGACTTTAAAAAAACATACATTTTCCATCCATTTGTTTCATTTATGGACTGCTTCCTATATTGCATCTCAAAGCGATTTCACAAGTCCATTAAAAACACATTTTAAAGTATTACATATTTAAAATCATTTCATTTTTTTAAAAAAATCATTACATCTATAATAGCAATTAGAAACCAAAGGATCAACAATACAGTGGTACCTCGGGTTACAGATGCTTCAGGTTACAAACTCCACTAACCCAGAAATTGTACCTCGGGTTAAGAACTTTGCTTCAGGATGAGAACAGAAATCGAGCAGCAGCGGCGGGAGGCCCCATTAGCTAAAGTGGTGCTTCAGGTTAAGAACAGTTTCAGGTTAAGAAAAGACCTCCAGAATGAATTAAGTTCTTAACCCGAGGTGCCACTGTAAAAGCATAGAACAGGTAAAGTGAAAAGGTAAAGGACCCCTGGACAGTTAAGTCGTCAAAGGAGACTGTGGGGTTGCAGAACTCATCTCACTTTCAGGCTGAGGGAGCCGGCATTTTTCCACAGACAGATATCTGGTTCATGTGGCCAGCATGACTAAACCGCTTCTGGCGCAATGGGACACCGTGATGGAAACCAGAGCGCACAGAAATACCGTTTACCTTCCCGCTGCAGCGGTATCTATTTATCTACTTGTACTGGTGTGCTTTCGAACTGCTAGGTTGGCAGAAACTGGGACAGAGCAACAGGAGCTCACCCCGTTGTGGGGATTTGAACCGCCAACCTTCTGATCAGCAAGCCCAAGAGGACCAGTGGTTTAGACCACAGCATCACCTGCTCCCTTATATAATATATGGATACATATGGATAGCTCAGTTGGTTAAAGCATGGTGCTGATAGCGGCAGGTTTACAAGTTCGATCCCCGTCTGGGACAGCTGCATATTCCTGCATTGCAGGGGGTTGGACTAGATGATCCTCAGGGTCCCTTCAAACTTTACAGTGCTATGATTCTGTGATGTAGATGAATAACATGGAACAATGAAGACAACAAATAATGGGCATCAGTTACCAGCAAAATGCAGTCGTGATGTGCAGAAGGCAGAAAATAATAGGGTTCATCCTCCAAGAAGCTCAAAGCCAGCCTGGATTCCACCCCACTGCCTCTCTCTTTTTTAAAAAATCTATTTTCTATTTAATATATTTTAATCCGGCCAAGTCAGGATTCAAGGTGGCTTACAACATCAGTTACAAAATACAGAATAATAACGAACTGGTTAAAAACAATACTTAAAATGCGTCACAGTGTATCTAAAACCAGTAATTAAAATATAATTTGAACGGACAGCAGCCCAGTCATCAGCATCCTCTGCGCCTTAGTTTCCAAATGCATATACAGTGGTACCTCAGGTTAAGTACTTAATTCGTTCCGGAGGTCCGTTCTTAACCTGAAACTGTTCTTAACCTGAAGCACCACTTTAGCTAATGGGGCCTCCCGCTGCCGCCACAGCTCCAGAGCACAATTTCTGTTCTCATCCTGAAGCAAAGTTCTTGACCCGAGGTAATATTTCTGGGTTAGCGGAGTCTGTAACCTGAAGCGTATGTAACCCGAGGTACCTGTACCACTGTATTCTACATATATTTGCCGATGTTAGGCTGGAGGAATGAGAGCAAGTAGCTCTCTAAGTCACCTTTGCGAAAGAGCAAAGAAAGGGAGCAGGAAGGGGCCGGGGCAAAAAGACCAGCAACTCAATCCTGCATGCTTTTACTACCAAGACTCGCTGAGGTCAATGGCTTACTCTCGAGTAAGCGCGCAAAAGATTCGGGGTGCGGGCAGCCGAGAAACCCAGCCCTGTGCATTTGACTGGGAGCAAACCATCAACTCCAGAGTTAAGGGTTTAGAAAAGGGGTCAGCAAACTTTTTTCAGCAGGGGGCCGGTCCACTGTCCCTCAGAATATGTGGGGGGCAGGACTATATTTTTTGGGGGGGAATGAAGGAATTCCTATGCCCCACAAATAACCCAGAGATGCATTTTAAATAAAAGGACACATTCTACTCATGTAAAAACAAGGTGATTGGGCCGGATCCAGCCCCCGTGCCTTAGTTTGCCTACCCCGGTTTAGAATCACGGAGTTAGAATCACAGAATAATAGAATTATAAAGTCGGAAGGGAACCCAAGGGTCATCTAGTCCAACCCGCTGCAACGCAGGAATCTCAACCATCCATCCAACCTCTGCTTAAAAGCCTCCAAGGAAGGAGAGTCCACGACTCCCGTTCCACTTACTTCAGAGTAAGCCTACATATATGATTGGTGGTGGGTTTTACCAAACAAACAAAAATTGCAAAGCCGCCCCCCCTCCCCCACGGCAATGAATTCAAGCAGCCCCAAGGAATCAATTGCCAAGCGCATCCACCCTCGCTCCATCCATGCGCTCAGGTAGCCAAGGGGGAGGATTTTTTTCCTTTTTGGAGGGTTGCCTTGCAAGAGGGTTTCTGCGTGTGTGTCCCCCCCCCTTCCCCTCCTCTCGGCTTTCCTTCGATCACATGGTGGGAAGCGGAAAACAAAGAGCAAAGCCGCCAGCTCTGCCCACTGAGCGATTTGGTGGAGGAGGAGAAAGGGAAATAGAAATAGGAATAAAAAGGACAAGCGCGCAGGAGACGGTGGTGGTGATCGAGGAGACGCAGTAGGGATTCCTGGCGCAAACGCGAGAGAAAGAGGAAAGAGAGGGATCGGTTGAGGATCCCGCTTCTTGAAGGATTCCTGGCGAGGGTGCCTTTCAAGCCGGCAACGGAAGGGAGAGCAGAGAGACCGAGGATCCTTTCCGACAGGGAAGCGACCCTAAGCGTAAGTGCAACGCCTCCCCCAAGCAAAGGTGCCACACAATTGTAAAACGGTGTCGCGTAGTGGTTAGAGGGCTGAATTAGGAGCGAGGAGACCTGGATCCAAATTCCTACTCAAGGCATGGAGTCAGACTTTGGACAGCCCCTTCTCTAAGACTGGCTTACCTTGCAGGGTTGTTGAGAGGAGTAATTGGGGGCGAGGATGCAGTGTCGCCCGCCTTGAGCTCCTTGCAGGAGAGCAAGATTAAAAATGTAATAAGTAAATTTTGTTGTTTAGTCGTTTAGTCATATCCAATGGACCAGAGCACGCCAGGCACTCCTGTCTTCCACAGTTTGGTCAAACTCATGCTGGTAGCTCCGAGAACACTATCCAACCATCTCGTCCTCTGTCGTCGCCTTCTCCTTGTGCCCTCCATCTTTCCCAACATCAGGGTCTTTTCCAGGGAGTCTTCTCTTCTCATGAGGTGGCCAAAGTATTGGAGCCTCAGCTTCATGATCTGTCCTTCCAGTGAGCACTCAGGGCTGATTTCCTTCAGAATGGATAGGGTTGATCTTCTTGCAGTCCATGGGACTCTCAAGAGTCTCCTCCAGCACCATAATTCAAAAGCATCAATTCTTCAGCGATCAGCCTTCTTTATGGTCCAGCTCTCACTTCCATACATCACTACTGGGAAAACCAGAGTTTTAACTATACAGACCTTTGTTGGCAAGGTGATGTCTCTGCTTTTTAAGATGTTGGGCATTATTTATGTTCTCTTCAGTAGGACTTGTGTTGAGGATTACAGCCATTCCCACCCATTGAAATCTCCACCTTATCTCATTTTCCATCGTTTCTGTTCTTCTCTTCGGCGCACGTTTGCAATCTTTTATCTCTCTTCTGGGTGAAAATTTAAAAAAACCTTTCAAGCTCTCACCACCTATTAATTTAAACATTTCCCCCCTCTATCTTTTATTTCATTTATTTTTTAATTGAATTTTTACACTGCCCTTCGCCGGTAGATCTCAGAGCGGGTCACAACATAGAAATAGGTAAAGGTAAAGGTACCCCTGCCCGTACAGGCCAGTCGTGTCCGACTCTAGGGTTGTGCGCTCATCTCACTCTAGAGGCCGGGAGCCAGCGCTGTCCGCAGACACTTCCGGGTCACGTGGCCAGCGTGACGAAAGCTGCTTTTTCATTATCACATCAGGAATCTCTGGTTCACAGAAAATATGTGAGAAAGAGTATGGTTAAGAGGGACGTTTCATCACTCTAGACAGGGGCAGAACCCAAAATTGCGTTCCAGAGTTTAGCCCAATGTATACTGGATTCAGGGACATGAGTGGCGCTGTGGTCTAAACCACAGAGCCTAGGGCTTGCCAATCAGAAGGTTGGCGGTTGAGCTCCTGTTGCTCAGACCCTGCTCCTGACAACCTAGCAGTTCAAAAGCACATCAAAGTGTAAGTAGATAAATAGGTACCACTCTGGCAGGAAGGTAAATGGTGTTTCCGTGCGCTGCTCTGGTTCGCCAGAAGCAGCTTAGTCATGCTGGCCACATGACCCGGAAGCTGTACGCCGGCTCCCTTGGCCAGTAAAGTGAGATGAGCACTGCAACCCTAACGGTCAGGGGTCCATTTATACTGGATTCAATGGGTATTGGGGTGGTGTCTCAGCTTCCCCACCTGTTTCAGGCTCCAAAATGATCTCCTTTTCCTCCACAGTTGGCTGGTCTGGGATCCATGGGTCTTCCTCTTGCTCAAGCTGGGAGATCAAGTTGGGTTTGACAACTCGAAAACCTGCCCAGGGAACAGAAGAAACTCAAGTAATATGTGGGGCTGCCTTCGAAGATGCCCAGAGCAATGATAGTCAGAACATATCACACCAATTTTGGCATGGCTGCACTGGCTACCAAATACTTCCATTAAAAACTGACGAAAAAATAAAGAGGAAGAAATTGCGGGGAATTAAGGATTTGAAGTCAGCACAGGGCAAGTTCACTCAACGAGCCTGTATTTAAAGTTTCTATTTTTTTTAATGAACTGTATATTAATATATATTTTTTCTATTACAGTTTATTATTTTAATGATTATCTTTTATGTGTTTTTCCCCCAAATTGTTTTGATTGAATTTCAAAACATTAACAAATGCAAATAAGAAAAGTAAAAGTAAAAAAAAAGCAACTAAGAGCTCATCCACCCCCAAAAGATATCTTTTCAGTGTTAGGAGCTAATGAGTACTAATACCAGACACATTATAACACTTTTCTTTCTGTGTTACAAGATACGAGTACCTCTCTCCTAGAAGAAGTCCCACACCATCAGAAGTGTGTGTTGAAATGAATTTCTGAATGAAAGGGGTGGAGGGGAGGGAAGAGAATTACATTTCTTATCAAAAGTTGAGAAAAAGGGCACTCACCTAAAGAGGCCACATGCCCATAATTTTCCTGCATGACGTCCCGGTACAAAGCTTTTTCATGTGTATCCAATAGACCCCACTCACACTCTGTGAAATACACAGCCACATCCTCAAAAGCCACACAGCCCTGGAAAGAAAGGGAACAGCAACATTTAGGGAATGTGTGATGCAAATACAAAGTTCCCTGTTGCTACAGATAACTATGACTTGGGATGCTTCTGGGCTAAGGTTACCAGATTTTTCTCAATGAATCCGGGGACACTTTTCAACTTCCTACTAAATGGATGGATTTTGTCAGGAAACTGATTTGTAAGCCGTATTCGGTGTGATTGCCATAAAACTCAGGGAACAAGCTGTGCTATCATAATGATTAAGGCTTTAAATGATAATTTTAGGTTATATGTTAGTGACTTAAGTTTTAATTTATATATTTTTAACTGTTGCTATATCTGTATTGTCCCTGTTATACCCTGTTATACCTAATTGTAAATTCAAATGTATCCCTATTGTGTTTTATGACTTTCTTGATATTGTATGTGGGCTGGAACTGGTCTGTGACCGAAATAATAAAATTCATTCATCCAGGGACTGTTCCCAGGAAACAGGGACGTCTGGTAACCTTATTCTGGGCAGCTGCTCTTTGTGCATGGGATCCAGTCACATACAGTCGTACCTTGGATCTCGAATACCTTGCCTCATGAACAAATCGGCTCCCGAACAATTGAAACCCAGAAGTGAGTGTTCCGGTTTTCAAACGATTTTCAGAAGCCAAACGTCCGGCACAGCTTCAGCGGCTTCCAATTGGCTGCAGGAGATTCCTGCAGCCAATCAGAAGCCACACTTTGGTTTCCGAACGTTTTGGAAGTCGAATGGACTTCCGGAACGAATTCCGTTCAACTTCCAAGGTACTGGTAAATTCAGGTTGCGCAGTTATAGTTGATTGGCAGGTCCTGCACAGAGACCTGGCTTCCCCCAAAAGAACAGATGTTTTGTAATAAGGAAAAAGATGGGGAAAATACTGGAAAGTGTGGGATAACACTTGCTTTGATGCAGCAGCGAACCTCCCCATAAATGTGCGAATGTTCATTAAATAGCCCACGTCGTCTAATCTTGCAAACAAATCAGGAGGCATGCTTACTAAACAGGCTGTTTGGAAGCAACAAGTGTTATTTGGTTTTTGTGACTTTTGTCACTTCTGCTTTAAACTGTAAGGAAAAGGCAAAGGGACCCCTGACCATTAGGTCCAGTCGGGGCCAACTCGGGTTGCGGCGCTCATCTCGCTTTATTGGCCGAAGAAGCCGGCGTACAGCTTCCGGGTCATGTGGCCAGCATGACTAAGCCGCTTCTGGCGAACCAGAGCAGCACATGGAAATGCTGTTTACCTTCCCATCGGAACAGTACCTATTTATCTACTTGTACTTTGACATGCTTTCAGACTGCTAGGTTGGCAGGAGCAGGGACCGGGCAATGGGAGCTCACCCTGTCACGGGGATTCGAACTGCCGACCTTCTGATCGGCAAGCCCTAGGCTCTGTGGTTTAACCCACGGCGCCACCCACGTCCCTCTTTAAACTGTAAACCATGCTGAAAGTCCTTTTGCAGAAGGGCAGCTTATAAATTGCCTAAATAAAAACAGCTAGGCAATCTATGTCCAATGGCCGATATCCATTGTTAGTCACAGAGGAGACTGACTGATATAGATGGATGAATTCGCTGACTTCTGCCCTCAAGATTGACTTAGTTGGGTTTCACCCATTTCCTCTGTAATCCCACAACAACCCTGTAAACTAAGCTTAAGAAGAAGACAGATCATGGGCTGTTTTTGAGGCCACTGAGCATTCAAGTAGATATCAGCATGGCAGACCTACAACTGGGTCTCCTACAATTTTTTAAAAATGAGTGTTGTTGCCTGCACCTGCCATTTTGGATCAGGATGGCAGTGCTGGGGGAAGGTGAGATTAACTCTTTAACGCCATTGTCCTAATATCACCCTGTCTCCCAAAGTTACCCTCAGGGCAGAAACGTACCAAACATTTTGAAACCCCCTCCCTCTGCACCACAGTCCTTTATTTGACATGGTGTGTGTGTGTGTATGCTTTGGCCGCTA